AAGACAGGAGGGGTGGGGGGAAGGTGTTTTAGGGTTTAGTTTTAGTTGTCATTATCCTACTCTGATTTGATATATAATAAATTAATTTCCCGAAGTGGAGTCTGTTTTGCCCATCAGGGTAACTGGTGACTGATCTCTCTCTGTCCTTATCTTGACCCACGAGCCTTTCGAGCCTTTCGTTGTATCTTCTCTCCCCTGTCCAGCTGAGGAGGGGGGTGACAGAGTGGCTTTGGGGGGCACCTGGTGTCCAGCCTGGGTCACCCCACCACAGCTTAGCAGGGTGCTTGCTGTATGGTGGAAGCTCTTCAGAAGCGGAGAGCTAATGCAACACTTCTCCCTAAAGAAGAGGGGTCTCACTCCCCCTCTTCCTTTTCCCCTCCTTCCCACCAAACGCTCCGGTCAGCCTGCTTGGCTCAGCTCAGAGAGCCAGCCCAGCAAGGAAAAGAAAGCGAGTGGTTTCTGTGGGGTGAGTGAGTTGAGGTGACTCAGAGAGCCAGCGGCCATGCAGGCCCTCAGAGCCGGGACAAAGAGGGTGGGACTTTTAGCAGCACTGAACTGGTCAAGCAGCACACCAGGTGCACGAAACCGCGGCTTCAAAGCACAGAAGCCGCTATAATGTCCGACCAAGCTCAAGCCCCTATAATGTCCGACCTCTCTCTTCTTTGGTTTCAGGTGACCAGGGCCCTTAACAAACAAAACATGAGGCCACCAAAAGCTGGGCTGTCGTGAGGAGCAGGCAATAAGCCTGCCAGGTGAGTGCCAGGCCCCTACCACAGGCAGAAATACAAATCCAGTCCAAAATTCATTTATTTTTTGCCCGCTGAAACCGTTTGGTAAATGCATCCTGATATTTTATGGCAAAAATTAAACGGCCTCGCTCTACTCCTGAGCTCCCATTTCCAGGCCCACGGCCAGTTAATACTTCATCTCTTACCGCAGCGTGACCAGCAGTGGAACAAGCGCTGAACGAGTCCTGCTGGTTCTGGTCTGTCAGAAATCCCAAGCTGGAGCCTGGGGACCACGTGAGCCGCCGCCTGCCCACCACGCCTTCCCGTGGCTTGATTTCCGCAGATCCCGGGGAGGATCTGTTCAAGAAAGTTCAGTCCGCAGGTGCAAGCTTTGCAGCTTATAGCTGGCCCATGTTTTTGATGTCAGGAAAAACATTGCAAGGAGAGAACTCGTTATTAATAAGAAGGGCTCCAGAGACCTTTTTGTATTCCAGTGAAAAGGTTTTTCTTTTAGCAGGCGTTTGTCTGTGGTGTTTGCAACCTAAATATCCCAAGCAGAATCTGAAAATTATGTTGATTAGAAACTGATTCTTGAAACAAATCATATCCCTTTCTTGGCAGAGCAGTAATGAATTCTCGTCACTGAGTTTTTCCAACCTTGTAATACATTAATTAGTTGGAACACGCTCACATCTCAAAAATCAGGTCAAATCACAAGTTTTAATCGCACATGATTCCCGCCAGTGTTTTGCTCCATAAATTAATTGCAATTACATTCAAGTTTACAGAAAACATTTTAACCCTTATAAGTTTTTCATAAACCCATAGGAGGAAAAGAAGTGTTCAAGAAGAAATACAGTAGTTTCAAATAAATAATAACTTTTGCCACTTTTTTTTACATTTGATCTCCCGCTCTAAAGAGAAAATCCTGTATGTGGTAACCCTCGTTATCTCCTACAGCCCTCCTGAATAATGGAAACAGATTTCAGAAAGATGCCCAAGGTCAATAATTTAAAAAAAGAAACAAAACCAAATCCTTTCACCCATTTGTTTCCCAGATCACAGAATAAAAAACTGTAGGCCTCCGATTTCCATGTTTAGCACACACTCTCACTTGAGACTTACAAAGTGGCTTAAATTTGACTTGCAAAAGAAAGATAGAGGCATGCCTGTATTCCCTGGAGAAAGCATACAAAAAGAATGTGCTTTTTTTTGTTATTTTAAGCTTTAGAAACTTGAACTCAAGCTGGAAGAGGGGAAAGGAAGGCCACGGCCAGGCAGCTGGTACAAGGAAGGTGCAGACACAGAGTTTTCCCCTGTGCCAGCTGGAAAAGATCCACACTGGAAAACAACTTCACAGCCCCCCCGTCCCAAGCCCTGGCTCCCGGGACACTGCTGCATAAGAAAAACTGCAGTTCTGCGTGCACTTTGTAGGGTTTGAAATGAAACTGCCTCGTGGATCTTCAGCTGTACCTATTTTAAAATGAAATAAACAATTATTTGGGGAAAAAAAGAGACCCCATTTCCTCATTTGCCACTGAAACAAAATGCACACAGCCTATGGCCCCTATCCATTACTGCAGATTAATTAAAACCTAAAAGAAGTTTCTTGTCCAAGACATGAACACTTTTCAAGAGCACTTTCATTTGTTTCTCCAGAGGAGGTGTCTGCCTGTGCCAGCTCAGGTAGATTGGTGCTACCAGGCAGGGGTAAATGGACCCACGATGAATGACCAGAAGAAGCTTTCTTGCTGGGACTGAGGGACATCGAGACCTCCCAGACCTGAACATGGAGCCCGCATTGCCGTGGTTCCTATCACTGCTGGTTCTTCAAATCAGTGTGGAGACACTACCATTTAATGAAGGAAAAATTGTACTGTTACCATGACTCTTTGTGATCCTGTTTTTTATAGCCTTTCCTCATCTGGGATTACCAGTGGTTTAGGAAGGAGGCAGGAGTTGCCCTACTTTTCTTTTTTAGGAGTATTTTTCCAAGACACATCAAGGGAGGGAGCCTGGCTACCCCATTCCCCCTGGAGAACTTTGCACTTTCTTCACTAAAACCTTGTTTTCCTGAAAACAGAGGCTGAACCTCAGGCTAGACTATACTAACAGATGGTATAGCCCAGCCCAGTCCAGCCCAGTGCACAGGACTCTCCTGGGAGGATGTAAAATGTCAAGCGTGGTTCCCTAGCTCAGCCTTGGCTGGGTACCTCAAATGTGTGCGTGTGCGTACGTGCCTATGTTTATGGCAAAGGCTCTCTTCCTTCCCCCTCCTCACACAAGTGTTTATTTCCTTGGAGGATAAGAGAATGAGTCTGATGGCAGAAGATAATCAGGATTTTCCCTCTACAGGTAATATAAAATACTTTGTATGTACGTGTTTGTCTATACTGCACATATACCCACAATTTTGACAGGAAGGATCAGATTTTTAAAGGTATTATATGTATAGCAGAATACTTTGAAGTCACTTAGGAAATTCTCCTAATTGCCCACCTTTGTCTATAAGCATCTACACAGATCTGAGGGGTTTCAAAGGGGAATTTTTATAAACCTGTTCTGTGCCTATTTGCATTTCAAGGCAATTAAGACTCTAAAAATATCCTCAAGAGGCATTGATACCAGGAGAATGTTCAGTTTCATAAATGGTTATTTAGTTCTTCTTAGGGCTTCCTTTATCTTCAGAACACATTTAGGACAGCCATGGGATAAACTAAGTAGAATTAAATAATACAATGACTCATCGACATACAGGAGTTCAACATATACTTGAATATGTCCAACAAAAAGGTGCTGCGGATCGTTCTTCCAGTGGCGTTCCTCCTGTTAACTGGCCTGTAAGGTACTTTCTTCTTTCAGCTTTGGCTTTTTACTGAGTTGTCTTCATTATTCAAAGTGCCATAGTGTGAACTGTGAGAATCTGGTTGTATTTTGCCTGTAAATTTTTGTCCTAAGGAAATGGGGTGAGAGAAGGGAAAAACAACAACTCTGTGAAGAATTTTAATAAAACAAATCCCCCACCAATCCATCATTTAAACATTCTTTGCTCCAGTAATCATTGTTTTCATTTGACTGGTTGTAACAATAGCTTGGAAAAACTCTGCAAAATTCTTTGAAAAATCTGTTGGGAACAGGAATAGAAATTAAGGGAACAGTATATTTATTAAATATGACTTAGAGCACATTTGTGACTCAACTCTCCTAGGTCATCCCATTATCTGATATCTCATTTTTAAACAGAGAGATAGAAAAAAAAGCCCTACTCACCAGGAATATGTCCACAGTCAATAAAATGAATTTGTAAATGCTCCTCTTTTTTATTTCTTGCAATTACAAATACACCAAGGAAAGATAGGAGACACCTGCAAAATAACAGTGGCATAGCATCATTAGAAACAGTTCACTGCATCTGAGATGAGAATTTCTTTCCATGTTTCTTTTTCAAGGACTTCCAAACTCAAGCTGCTCAGTTTATAAAGAAACTTTTCTTCCTGGCAGCTCTATAAATTCATCTTGGGCTCCCTTTCAGTCTAGTTTTTGCCTCCTGAAACGTTATTATCAGTTCCAAAGGCTCCACAGGCAAAATTACACTTTCAGCAATATATACCTAATCAAACGCCTGTGAGTGTGAGACCACAACATTTGAATCCCTGAGCAAATCTTCACAGAGCATCTCAGCTAGCATTCTAGCATTTGCAATTTCATTAACAACTCAGTCTAGCTGCAGACAATCAACATCTCTGTTGTTTTTCTCATTTGACTGTGTGTCTCAGGGGCAAGCTGCAAGCCAGGAGCAATGAGAAACTGCTATGCGTGGATAAATCTATCCACTCTGTGTTGGACACACAACCGCTAATTCCCGCCTGCCAAATACATGGGTTGAATTTGCTCATCTCCATTTTCTGTCACTTTTCCTGCAGTCAGACAAGATAGTGGTTGTGTGCACCTACTCCTGTCCAACTGCAGAGGATGAAGACGCCTGTAGCTATCAGCCCCATTTTACTTGACAGCACTGTGGCACTCCAGCAGTTCTTGGAGATGCTTTTAACCATCTCACACCCCTTGTCAGGCAGCTGTCACCTGTCCCCAGAGTTGTTACGGTACCGGTAGCCAGCAGAAGGTTTCTGCTTTCACAACACCTAGGCCCTTCTTCAAACATTTATTATTATTTATATTATTCTTCGCATGCTCTGAACTTTACTGCAGGCATGCGGTGTCTTCCTCGGTGCAAGAAGATGAGGAAGAGATATTCTAGTACTGCCTCGTAGGCAAGCAACTCATATAATTCCCCATGCCTAGTGATGGCAAAGACCAGCCCAACACGCAAGTGGAAGGTAACATGGGAGATTTCTCACAGTTGTAAAAGCATCCCCTATAACATGATCTTTGGTGGAGAGCAGTGATTTCTCCTTCCTGCTGGAGGAACACATGCTGCTGGTTTTTCATTCCATCATGAGATTAATAGTTCATAAGTGTCTCATATTTTTACATATTTGGATTCAAAACTAGGCCTCCAAACTCCCAAAGCACAGACATCAATCTTCCCTTTAATGTTTTTTTATCCTACTATAATGGCTATTCCATAATACTTTAATAACAAGACAGGTTTCTTCTTACTGAGAAAAGAAGGGATTCCACAAGGCAATGCTGTTTCAGTACAAACGTTAGTGCAGATTTTAGGCTGATACACTTACCCGAACAGAAACATGAACACACTCAGCAAAGCTGCACTTTGGAATTCCTGATAAAATACGACCCCTGGAATGTGACAGAAACAAAAATTGCAGATCTTGACTGGCTTCCAAGTGATATGAATTACAGCTGGGAGGGTCAGGAGCAGTGTCATGCTCAAACAGAGAAAAAAAATCCCAAATAAGGTATTAATACACATTGTGATGGGTTCACTATATACTCATATTCCATTATCTAGGCTTTCTCAAGATACTGCGTAGGACTGGAGAAGATTTAGTCTATCAGGTTGGAGCGTGTGCTGTGTTAGTAACGGCAGAGATGCAGGTATTTTTTGCATTGTCAGCAACGGTTTTTATGCAGGTCAAACTCAAGGTCTTATTCACAAGCAGAGTCACACCAATGTAGCTAAGAGGTTCTTCGTGGATTTAGTTAAGCCACTCCAGCAGATCATGTGGACATCTTAACGCCAATTGGGAACAGGTTTTCGGTAACTAGCTATCCCCCTGATGTTTACACCAGGTTAAGGGCTCCAGCAGCCAAGTTTGCCAAATCTTTCTGGCTGAAGGGATCACTAGCTCTTTCTGGTTGCCCCTTTTCCAGGAATTAGCACCTCTGCAGTGGAGGTGACAGAACCAGATGTGTATCTGGATCTCAGCTGCCCCAATTCACAGCCAAGTGTATTAGCTTTAAACCACTGATGAGCATAGTTTTGCTTAGAAACGCCAGAGTGTGAACCAGCGCAGCTGATGTGTGACTCCAGCTTCAAAGGCTGTAACTTGGGATTCGGGAATCATGAGCTGAGGCATCTT